ATTTGTGGGACTGGGGTTGTGGCTCAGTGGCAGAGTGCTCACCTAGCACATATGAGGCACTTGGTTCAATCCTCAGCACCACATAAAAATAAAGGTATTGTGACAACTAAAAAATATTTTTTAAAAAAGACATTTGTGGATTTATATGCAATTATAATAAGTAATACAAATTTCATGTATTCCTTATGAGGGCTGGAGCAGAGTACAAATTGGAAAGCACAAGAAGGAATTTTCTGAGATGGAGGCAATGTTCTCTTTATTAATTTGATTACATGGGTACATGCACATGTCAAAATAGAATACATTTCCTAAATGTATTTTCCTGTATGTCATTTATACTTCAATTTAAAAAAAATTTAATCCTTTCCCATCGCTAAGGAATCTACTTTTTGATAAATGTTAGGAAGTGAGGGATTCCAGATATGTGGAATGTAGAGAAAAGATGATTCTTTAAATAATTAATATATTATTTAACTAACTATGATTTCTTCCATATTACCATAAATAACTGGAATGAATTTTAACCCTAGAAGGCAGACATTAACATCTAAATTTCTTAGCTAAGGAAATAGATTGTAAAGAGCCAAAAGAAAAAAAAAAATTGCCCTAGACACCAAGCAAGGAAGATGAGAGAAAATCAAACTGTGCACCATCTAATACCAGATAAAATCAAATCCAATATCATCTAATTTCAGATTTAAAGTTCTTTTTACTTAAAACTCTTGTGTTGAGCTGGAGTTGTGGCTCAGTGGTAGAGTGCTTGCCTAGCATGCATGAGGCACTGGGATGGATATAAAATAAAGATATTGTGTCCACCTAAAACTAAAAAATAAATGTTAAAAAAAACAACTCTTCTGTCTCCAATAATACCTCTGTAAAAGTCTTTTAATTTCCTTTTGTTTTACCCATGTTTCCACCAGATGGTGAAGACCCCATTTCTGACACGCTATCCTAACTGCTCTTAAAGCTGCTCCTGCTCTTTGCCCCACCTCAAAGATGTGGCCATTTCTTCTCACTTTGCCAAGGGTCATCTCTTAAAGAGTTCACAGTGATATGGATATATCACTAAGAATGTCAGAATTTCATCTCACTTATGGATTTTGAATATTATATTGACATTTATCTTAGATCCCAAGTAAAATCCATTGGTTTTTAGGAGCTGGAAATATCATTCATTATGCGTTCTCTACAAAAAATAGCACAATATCAGATCAAGATGCTGGTGAGAAACAAGAGTTGCAGGAAGGCCCCTATGAGCAGAGATACCGTCACCACAGAAGCTCAAGTTTCTGAATGAGAGCAACTCGCATAGTTGAACTTGTTCGTCTCAACCCACTCACTTCTCCCAAAACAGACAGGTTAAAAAACAAGAAGCATTATTAAAAAAATGAGGAAGCTCCAACCCACCTGGGGTTCTGCTGTCAGGAGGTCAGGGGTCAATTCATCCTCTAAACTTTCTTCCTGGGTCTCAGCAGCATCCTGAGACAGCAGAACTAGGGAACGAAAAGAACTATGAATTTTGCATCTACTCAAACCTCTCAAATGCAAGAACTGTTCTGTAGACCCACTGACTCTTCCCCAAAAAAATATTCACAAAAGGGGACATCTAGGGCTAGGATTGTGGCTCAGTGGTAGACTGCACACCTAGTATGCTTGAGGCACTGGGTTCGATCCTCAGCACCACATAAAAATAAAATGAAGATTGTGTTGTGTCCATCTAAAACTAAAAAAATAATAATAAATGTGGGGGGACATCTAGAATGACTCAAAGGAGCCCAAAACTCCTTAGTGAGAGGACCTGCAGTGTGTTGCTTTGGGTATTGATACTTCCCAATGGTCAAAAGCACAAATCTATCAGGCCACTTCTTTGTTCCAAAATCCTCAAAGGGTCTCCCACAGATAAGAAAGAAAAAATTCAAACATTTCACCATGGACTTCAAGGCAGTCTATGATCTGCCCAAAGCTTATTTTCTCAGCAGTGGTTACCTCCAAACTACCAACCTTTATACCTGGGACACCACCAACTTCACATTCTTAACCCTCATTTAGACTAAATAGTTGCCATTCTCTAAACCTCTCATCAAAGTACCCACTTTTCTATACTTCCTCCAAATCTTCTATAAAAAGCTTCAGATACTTTTCCAGACTCAACTCAATCTATCTGACTTATATTTCCTCAGGATTCCAAAAGAGCTTTTCTTAGGCTATCTTCTTTTGATTTGGTTGTATATCTATCTACTCTTTCAACTAATAATCAGCTTTAGAGATAATTCTTCTTCTTCTTCTTCTCTCTGCCCCCCAATCTCTCAAGATGCTTAGCCAAAGTCCGTACCTGACATAGATGGAATACAATAAAAATACTAGTTGGATATGAAGTATTAGAGGTATGAGGACATCACATGAGACACATTTATTCCTCTCTCCATATATCTTCTCCTGACCAGACCACTAAATAAGGTGGGTATGTCTTAGACATGTCTCCTGCCTAATTTACATAGTTCAAGGTAATATGAGAGGAATCAGGCATGTTATTTCTGCCTCTTGGAGAGGGAGGGGTGGAAATCTGATGCTTGTCAAAAATATTGGTTAAATATTTTTAACCAATAAGTAGCTAAAATGACTAGCACTTGAGCTGGAAAACCCTTCAGAGGACTTTGGGGTCAGAACCCTTTGATCCCTCTACATGTGAATCACATTCCCACACTTAAGAGCCAGAGGTGGGGAATAACTCTATTCTAGCTTCCCCTCATGTATTTTATCTGATGCCAGGAGATGGGAGCAGCATGGAGCACATATTGAAAAAGAGCCTGAGATGGGAGCCCAATATTTTCTCTCCCAGCTAGACTACCCCAAAAGCTATGAGCTCAGCACGAGTGAACCCCCTCAAAGACCTTCTTTCCTCCAATTTTCTCCCCAAGAAACAACCTCAATGAAGTACATCTGTTCACATAAACGAGACCTCCTTCTTCCCCCTCCTTCAGTCTATTCTCACCTTCTTCTTCAAACATTTTAGTCACATCCTCCCATGAGGGCGCCTCCTCCTTGGCCTTCCTTGGATGGTGTAACTTCACCCAGGTACTGGCCTTGGGCAGGGTGATCAGGAGCTGCTGAGGCATGATGATGCACGACCAACTGGCCTTGTCCACTTCTGGTGAGGAAATTGCCAGAACCTCCAATGAGAGGCTTGGCAATTGCGTGGTCTTTCTCAGACTGCAATCTTCTGCCCTCAGGGCTTTGGCATGTCCCTGCAGGACTAGGACCTGGAGGACCCTAGAGGTTGGAGTGACTTTAACAACTCTGAAAACTGGACACCATTTTTTGGGAGGCAGTCAGGTGAGCTAGTTTAAGTACATGGCTTTGTAATCATTCTAGAGGAACAAAAGACAAGAAAAAAGAAATCCAGAAACACTTTTCATATGGCCAGAACTCCAGAACCTGCAGAAATATATTTTAAAATGCAAAAGATCTAATACAATGGTGCGGCATCAATGCAAGAGTAAGTATAATCAGATTTCTTGGATGTAGCTTCCATCTCCCGATTCCACATAAACACAAAGACAGCAAACATCCAAAGATGCACAAACATTTGCCTTGATTTCCCACCTTGTAAGCTACATGCTTATTCTGCTTGGATCCAGATTTGAGAGTCAACACAGGCTTTAAAACCAGACAGCCTGGCTAGAACCCAGACATTAGCCAATAAAAGCTCTGAGGCATTTCAATTCTGTGAGCTTCAGTTTGCTCACCTATAAAATAGGAATAGTAATTGCATTTTGTAGAGTTGCAATGTTGATTAACTGAGACAACACTAAGCATATATAGCAAGCCCTTATAAACCTTTTATTTTATGCTGTGTCATACCATTATTTTTTAAAGTTATTTTTAAAAAATAATTTGAAATATGCATGTAAAGTTCATTTTTAGTATCTTAACTGATGGAATAATCACATAGCTGTTTTAGCTGGGGCAAACAGTAACAGATACATCATCACCCGTGAAGCCTAACAACTGATAAAATGCATCCTGGGTTCGGAAATGTTAAATTGGGGGAGGGGTTAATGCTTAAATGGAATAAATATAGTACTTTAAGTTTAACCAGGGCTCCTACAGAATTATTGGTAGCAGGCAGATTTGAAAACAACCCAAATCAACTCATCCAACCACTGGCATCTAGGCAGGTACCTCCACCATGACCTGGTCCAGTATATCTGGAGTCCTCAAAACAGCTCGGTGGAAAAGAGGGTGACCCAGGCTAGGGTTGTAGCTCAATGGTAGAGCTCTTGCCTTGCATGTATGAGGCACTGGGTTGATCCTCAGCCCCACATAAAAATAAATAAAGAGGGCCCCGGTTGGGGCTCAGCGGTAGCGCACTTGCCTGGCATGTTTGAGGCACTGGGTTCGATCCTCAACCCTACATAAAAATAAATAAAATAAAGGTCTATCAACAACTAAAAAATATTTTTTAAATAATAATATATAAATAAAGATACTGTGTCCATCTACAATTAAAAAATTTTAAAAATGGGGGGCGGGTGGCCCGACTTTCTGAAGTTCGTGGAGAAGAGACTTATTGACTGCGTGCGTCCTTAGAGACTGGAGATTATAGGAAATATCCTACCCCTGAATATTTAAAAAGGACCTCAATGAGCTGGGGATGTGGCTCAAGCAGTAACGCGATCGCCTGGCATGTGCAGGGCGCTGGGTTCGATCCTTAGCACCACATAAAAAATAAAGATATTGTGTCCACCTAAAAATAAAAAATAAAGATTAAAAAAAAGGACTCCTTATCGAAGTACAGAAACTTTGGACTCGTCCCTAAGAAGCGTTTAATGACGGAGGGGCTTCACTTTGAAGTCTTCGCACCCCCACAGGTCTCCCAGATAGGCCAGCCCCGAAAAGAGAGGTAGACCAGCAGAGGAGTACTCACCGGGTGGGTGGGCCTTGGACGCCGGGAGGGCCAGGGTTGGGACGTGGGGACGCTCGCTCCCGAGCCTTTCTGCTGCAGAGGTCTCCAGAGAAGGACTGGGTGGTAACAGATTCTGTTCTTTCCCACCCTTTTACGGACCGTCCACAACCTCCAGCGTTCGCCTAGACGTCCTTCTGAAGCCCGGAGGACCCTGGGCCTCCGGACTGGACCAGGCTTTCTTCCAAATTTCCATCCAGGGCCCTCTAGGATGGGTGGCTTTGGGGCTGGAATGGGAGGGCGCCCTGAACCGGCGCTGACGGTGACTTTAAAGCCCGAGCCAGCAGCCACCGCCAAGTGCACCCGGCCTCAGAGGCCGAGCGGGGCGTCTTGCAGCGCCTGCGCCCCGGGACGCGCCCTCCAGGTGGCCAGCGACGCCCGCAGCCCGCTGCCCTGCCCCAGCCGGCCCGCCCACCC